GTAAAGGAAAGTGATCTTTTAAAAGTGATTTTTTCTGGTGGCCATGTTTAATTTTCTATATTTAATACAAATTTTCCAACCAGTAACTTTTCTTATTGAGATAAGTAACTTGTCTTACTGATATTAATTCATTATTTTCATTTTCTTCAACGGTCACTCCTCCTTTCTTCGGAACACAGTGAATTGGACTTACCCAAACACTATCTGAGATAGGATATATAATTCCAGATCTAGTCATTTTAAAATTTCTTTTTTAACAATTTCTTTCATTATGGGGTTTAATCTCCTATGAGGATCAACTTTAGGTTCATATTGTTCATCTAATAGAATTCTGTGCATACAAATAGAAGGACTACTTCCTTTAATATCTGCTAAAGTCCATCCAAAAACTTTTTTATATTTTTTAACATCTATGTTAATTTAGAATATACAATAACAGATAATGTAGATGACTCTCCTAAAAACACATATTTTAAATGGGCAGGTAATATTTTCACTTCAAGTTCAGGTGGTTTCTTCAAGTTCAGGTGGTTTATTGTTTTATTGTTTTCCAACAAGTCTAATGTTTCAAGTTTTATTGTTTTCCAACAAGTCTATTTGTTTTATTGTTTTCCAACAAGTCTAATGTTTCAAATTTTCCCTGAATATAATTCAAATCTTCTTCCCTTGTTTTCAACTTGTTTTCAAAAAATTCTCCTTGTTTTAATTTGTCTTCAAACTCATTCTTGAATTGCTCATCACTCAAATAATCAGTTACCTCCATCCTAAAATATTTATTAACATTTTTTTATTGCTGGATATTTCATAAATTTTGCAATATTAAATGTTACTTGTTGATCATTAACTCTCATTATTAATTCTCCTTTTTGTACATTTATCACAACTCTCCCTATTGCAAGAAATGGTCTTCCCAAAATAATACAAAATATCTTCCCAAAATAATAGGAATTTTTTTATCTTCCTCCATATCGTATACTATAAAGTCTACAGAGAAAATAAATATATCTACTTTTACTAATACATCATCTATAACTCTTTTTGAATAAGTTATTGATCGATCAACTAACTGAAGAGTTACAGTAGTAGGGGAAATTTCTCCCAAATCTAAATGTTTAAAGATTGATAAATGCATAAGATTATGCATAAGATTGATACTCATTGATACTCGCTCATAAATAAAATAAAGCTTTTCCAAAAAACTTTTCACAAATAGCACAAGGTATAGTAAAACTACCAGGATCTTTTAAATTTTCAGGAAGTTTTTTCTGAATAATAGAGCTATACTCTTCACTGAGTGCAACGGTCTCATGATCTGTAAACTTCCTTTTCTTGTTTAGTATATTCTTCATAAATTTCACATAACTTGACATTTGTTCTAAAGCTTCAACACAAAGAATGTTTATCGTTAACTTCATAAGGATTTCAAAAAATTATGTAAATTATTTATCTTTATTCTTCTCCTTAAGTTTTTGAGGAAACAGAGGTAATGGTTTTTCTAAAGGACTTTGTGTTTGTTCATTTTCATTTTGGTCTCTTTTCATTTCTTCCTTCTCTTCATCAACATTAGTTTCTCTTTGGATCCTTATTTCAACTTCTTTTCCACTTCGTAATTGAATAGCTTTAATTTGCTTCTTACTTTAATCTTTTAGATTAACTTCCATCGTACTCGGAAGAATTCCAGAAGGTTTGTTACTGGGTGGAGTAGCAATATGTCCTAATTGATTTTCAATGTTTCAAATAGCAGCCCCTTGATTCTGTATTTGATTTCCTGTGTTTAACATTACTCCTTCCATCGTCAACTTATTTTCCTTAACTTGTGGGTTAGGATTAGAGTTAAATCTAGGAGGATAATAAGGTTGATAACTAGGATTTCCTTGGTTGTTCAAATTTCTGGAGGGATTCACCGAATTGTTATAATTATTCCAACTAAAATTAGGGTGATTTTTCCATTCAAGGTTATAAAAGTTAGAATAAGGATTGTTATTTTGATTATTTATAACATTTAAAGTTTCATAAGATGATTATCAATTATCTATCTTAGTGAATTTTTCTCTAATACTAGGGGTATTTGAGAATAGTTCACTCCTATTTGACCAAGCTTTTTTGAAATAACAGCAATTTGAGATTCTAAAATAGACATTGCATCAGAATTATGAATACTAGCTACTCTCTTAGATTGTTAGTAGTCATTTCTTCAATTAAAGAATCTGCTTCATCAAAAGGTTTTGACATTAATGATCTCTCTGCAGCAGCATCTATAATTGATCTAAGTGATCCTACTTATCCATTATAAAATGTTTGAATTATTAACCAATCTGATAGAGCATGGTGTGGACATTTTTTAAGAAGATCTTTAAATCTTTTTCAAGCTTCATATATTGATTCCCCTTCAAACAGACAAAAAGATGTAATGTCAGTTCTAAGCGTAGCAGTTTTCGAGGGTGGAAAATATTTAGCTAAGAATTTTTGTGATAGTTCTTCCCAAGTTCTAATAGATCCAGATGCTAATGAATTTAACCAAGCCTTGGCTTTATCCCTTAATGAAAAATGAAAAAAAGTCTAAGCCTAACAACATAATTAGACACTTCGTCTTATTTAAAAGTAGCACAAATTTCGAGAAAACTAGAAAGATATAAGTTTGGATCTTCAGTAGGTGTTCCTCCAAACTAATTATTTTGTACCATTTGGATAATAACATGTTTAAGATCAAATGAATTAGCAGCAACATCAGAATTTTGAATAGTCAAGTGAAGTTCATCTGCTGTCAGATTAACATAATCTTTTAGAGGTTTTTGTCGATTTTTGTTTATTTGATTATTTAAATTATTTGCCTTTTCATTTAAATTTTTAATTTCTTTTTGTTGTTTTCGAATTTTTCTAATAGTACGCTCTAATTCTAAATTGTAAGACACTAAACTTTCAGATCTAATATTTCACATAAATAAATATAATAAGCAAAGAAAAATTTCTTAAAAATAACTCTTGAATAAAAATATATGTTCTTTTTGGATTTTTGAATTTATTATTATTTATTTATTTATTGATATAATTATCTCTAAAATTCCTAATTTACTAAATCTATTTAATTTACTATTACTTTCCCCGATAACGACACAACAAACTTGATCCCGAGAATCTAGTTGTGTAAAATTTATATAGTTGACTCCGCTATGCAACAGTGCCAAAAGTTTGATGCAATATTTTATGAATAAGAAATTTAAGCAATTAATGTTGGGATTCTACGCAAGTATACGTATCGTTATCAAGTAATAAAAGACTTTCTATTTAAGCCCCAAATATCAATCTCATGGGAAACATTTAAATTTTAAATGATAAATTTACTAGGAAATTCACAGAAAGTCAATACGAAATTACTGTCACTAATTTTGAATGCTGAGATATTATCAGTAGGGGTGTAAACGAACCGAACACGAACGAACAAAACTTGTGTTCGTGTTCGGTTCGTTTAAAATTTAGTTTGTTTGAAATAAGCTCGTGTTCGTTTCTTAACGAACGAGCCAAACACGAACCGAACACGAGCTGTAATATTATATATTAATTATATAACTTATATTATATAAATATACAATATTTATATTAGTATATTACTACTATAGTATATTAATATATTATTATTATTATTTTATTATATATTATAATTTATAAATTTAATGTTTTAAAATATAATAAATTTTTTATATATAATTATTTTATATTATTTTATATTTCAAACAATAACGATTCGAACACGAACGAACGCATCACTGTTCGTGTTTGGTTCTTTTAACTAACCGAACGAAAAAAATTTTTTTGCGTTTGTCTCGTTTACTTATCGAACGAATCGAACACGAACTCATTGACGAATCGAACACGAACTGTTCGCGAACAACGAGCTTTTTTGACAGCCCTAATTATCAGAACTAAATTACTTAACTATTAACAAAGCTAAAATACAAAATTTAAACAGTAACTACTAAACTATGTTTATGTGATGAAGATTTCTTATGTGAAAAAACATCTTTTCCACTACAATGAGGTTTTGATAAAATGAGATGAGATAAATGGTTCAATTATGTATTGTGCTACCCTGACTATATATATATATATATATATATATATATGATCAGTTGGTCGGGCATCTGCTTGTCAGTCGTAAGTCCCCTCTGGTCTACGGTTCAACTCCCCCCAAGTGTAGGGTGTGGTACTCGAATTATATGCGCGTGAGTGATGACCGAGACTCGTGTCATAACCTCAGGCCATTTTATTAAATTATATATATAATTGATTTTC